CCAATTACCTGAGGTGGACACTCTTGGTGCACCCCTTTGTGGGCTGTGTGCACAAGTTAAGCCTTGATTGTAGTTGGTATCACTGGGAGGAATTGACCTTCAGGCCAATTGGCTGTGAGATTCAGCTGTGTCTATGGTGGGAAAACTTCTGTGCTGGAGACACCCTTATGGGGAAAGACTTGTTTCAGTGGGGCTTTGGTGCTCACTTAGTCTGGCAGCAGAAGTCTTACAAAAAGAAAATGATTGTTGCAGGGCAGCTAATTGCTAATTTAAGGGATTCTCTGGAAACTGAAGGTGTTGATGGCAGCCTGGCCTCAGAATAAGATGAATTGAAAATCAGATCTAGGTTCTAATTATAAGGATAGTAGAAATGTAAAGGAAATTCAATGTGTGGCTTTCATAAATATACTATATTAAAGCCAGAACCCAGATGGGAAGAGGGTACAGAGACTTATGATGCAGATACGTTAGTAGATCAATCTAAGAACTCTGATTTGAAAAATTCCATGGAATGTTCTTGGGCCAGTAGAATTTACCTGTTTCCTTTGCCAAAAGAAATTAGCCTTCTTTTTCCTAGAGGCTGTGCAATGGCCTCACCTGAAGCAGGTGCCTAACAAGATGATGTTTATTCTCCAAAAATTGCCTCCACCATACCTCCAAGCCAGTAACCAAGATCATATTCCAGCACACTCTGAGAGGAAAGAAATAGTCCCTGCTTAGGGAGGAAGTAGACTACTTATCACACAAATGGCAGAACCTGGCTATTCTATACTAGCAAGTAACAGAATATGTGTAGGAGCGGATTTTGAAGATATCAGATCAGGGGAATATAAGGCTGGAAAAATTTACTGGTATGGGGTATTCTCCCATGACTCAGGATTCAATGTTTTAGGACCTAGGGCTGATCTAAACACACTGTCAGGTTGGGTCCTTGAAACTTAATTCATGACAATAACCTAGAAGATGTGAGATGAAGTTAGCAGTCATTTGGCATTATATTGAGCAAAAGAGACCATATAGATCAGGGAAGCAGTAATGTTAGAGTGGATTTCCTAAGTACAAGCTGAGAACCTGTCACCAATTGTGTTCCCTGAAAAGACCCAGTGCTCACTCCCATTTCTAAGGCAATAGAAAATATACTAGGTCCATCAGTTTATTTAGAAAGCTCAGTGATGCCTGTTATCTACAGGCCATGCCTGCAGATGTGATATGGAAATTAGGCTGCCTGACATCAATGAAGATGATGGGATTTCAGAATGAGAGGCCATGGCAGGTCTTAATTCTCAGAGACAAGTTGGACATAATTATTGCACATGGCATCAAAATCAGAGTAGCAATTAAAGTGCCTTGGCCTACATGGATCTATGGTGATTTTAGGGGCAAAATAGATGGAGATCTGACCAGGGCATTGTTTCATTTGTATAATAAAAAACTGAGAGCTGGAAAGCTGACATAAGTGCTGCAATGAAAAAAATTACCCAGTTTCTAGAACTAAAGTGGGATATAGACCCAGAGTTAATTGACTAAAAGGGAGACCAGGACCCCTTGAGGAAAAACCTGGAAATGTCACTATAGAATATATGTCACTGAGTTATATGATATGCAACACAGAGTCTAGAGATGTACATACCAGTCAGTGGGAATGGTCCTCTCAGGAGGATGGACCTGAGAGAACAGGTCCTGCAGGCTCTAGGATCAGGTTTGAGGCTGTGTGCACAGAGCCCTTTGTGGTCCCAGGAATTCCAACTGTGATCTAGAAGGGTGGGAGGTACTGGGTGTTTGTCGTATGGACTGTTGACCTCACCTTATAGGGAGGGGCATGGATGAAGGAAAGCTAGATGGGACATAAAATGCAGGACTCAGAGCAGAGCCTGGGTCTAGGGGTGGTATGGGAGTTTGGCATAGTTAAGGACCAAAAAGATTGGTGAAGCTGGAATGAGGTAAACATGGGACGCTGTGGTAATAAGATGAAATTGATGAGGTTAAGTCTTGAAGACCCTGACAAGGCATTGGATTGTTGTTCTTTTGGTATGCTTTTTTGCCAGTCAGACTGTACTTAGGCCTGCAGAGCCTTAAATGGTAGCTGATTGGGACCTTACCTGAAAGCTTTGGGACAGGAGACCTAAAAGAAGGGGCTTGAGATTTCACCTAATCTGTGGTCAAGCAGGGGTAAAAGTAGACAAAAGTCACTAGACTGGAGCCAAGGTGACATCACAGCTCTGACAAAGGAGCTTTTATATGATATGAATCACTGATATACACCCCTGGGCTTGGAACTAGATGGAGACAGGACCTATTCCAACTCACCCCCAAACTGGCAGGAGGGAGAAAGCTGCATACTTTGCTCTGAAGCTAACAAATCTACCCATGTATCCTTTTATATTTCATGGTGTCTTGGTTTCACTTATGAACACTCTGAGGTTCTTTACAGCAGTGCTCTTGGACACCTTTCTTTGTTCCTTACCTTCTTGTAAACTGAACGAACCCCAGTCTGCCCGATTCTGAAGTCCTAGTTCTACAATCCCAACCTCGGCCTTTGGGTTACATATTAACTCTTTGTCTTGCCAGCTCAATGTAAGCTGATTTAGCTGGCTCATCTGACCTTCTGATGCCACATGGCAAACACGGTTCCAGTTCTGACCACTTGGAATGTAACTTCTACCCTAGCTAGAACAACCTTTGCCTCCCAGCAAGGAGAAATTGAGTGTTTTGTTATGAACCACTGGATTCAGAGCACCTGCTTGGTTGCCCTAGCAACAAGGCAATGGCTTTGGTTTTCTTTAGTCCTTGGGCCTGGGGAATATGACACGACAGAAGGAAAATTCAGAGCCCTGAGAACAAATTCCTGTTGGGCCCACCCAGTCAGTGGAAGATGGGATGCAGATACAAACCCTGCTTTCACAGATTGTGGGACTAGCAGTTGCTGTGGGCAGCTAAACCTACCCCTATTCACTCATCCAGAGAAATTTAGAGGCAAATCAGCAGTCCTCTCTGAAATTAAACAGTCATAATGATTCATAAATATTCAGAGCTTTGGTTGGAAATTGGGATGGAGGAGATTCTGTTGGGTACAAACTGATTGCATTTCTAACATACTGAATTTTAGGAGAAATGGAGGGTTATAGCTCTGCTCCTGATGCTCAACAGCCATGTCCAAAGGGAGATCAACAAAGGTCTACCCACAAGAACGGATAGACATTGCTCATCTTCCAGGAGGAAGAATTTATACCTCTGTAGCTTTATGGGCTATCCTGGGGTGAATGAGAGTAAGTGATCCAAACTTCCACCACAGTTTAGCCATCGCCTCAAGAGAGCTAGCTCAGGTCACCAGGTTTGAGCCTCCCAATATTAACAAGTCTCTGAATAAGACTAGAGATGGGACTAGCACACATGCCTTGCCTCTCTCTTTTGTGTTGTAGCAAGGCCACTCCACAAGGTGCGTGCATGTGTGTGCACACATATCTATGTGTGCATGCTTGTTCCCCTATGTCTACCAGTTCCCCCAAGCAGGGCACCTATATCCCCTACAATCCATTATGCCTATTTTTATGCAGATTGCAATATTCATATTCTACTTCTAAAAGATACTTGCTTAAAGACCATCTATTGCACAAAAACATAGATTAACTTTAAGGACTTGATATTGACAATAATATTCAAGATCACCTTCCTCTTGCAAGTGCCCTCTTTCCTACAGAGAAAACCTTTGGGAGGATTTTACATGTGATGCTTGCACTACAAAGATGCCCCTGGGTAATGCTTGGCCTTAGTGGCTAATGTTTAATAGTGGCAGCAGGACTTTTGCCATTTTGGAGGCAACATTTAGCTGAGTGCCTGGCTCTGAGTCAAACACA